GGATGGTGTGTCCTCAGCCATCCTTCAGCCTTTTCCTTATTCTTGGTTTCAAACTCATGTGGTGATGAGCCAAAATGGCCATAGAAACCGTGTTTTTTTGTGTTAAGTGAGTATTAGTCTGTGGGTCAGTTCTCCCAGAGAACAGCCTGATGTGTGGAGGTGAAGCCTTGTAGGGGAGCAGCTGAATGAGGTTGAGAAGGTTCTCCTGAAATACCCTTCATCTAAATAGCTAAACCACGGCCTGGCAGGTGGCTCATGCCTGAATCCTAGCACTCTGGGAGATTGAGGTATGTGTAGTGCCAGATACTTGGGAGGCTGAGGCAAGAGAATCACTTGAGCCCAAGAGTTTGAGGTTGCTGTGAGCTATGATGCCATGGTATTCTACCAAGGGTGACAAAGTGAGACTCTCTCAATAAATAAATAAATAGCTAACCCATTGGGACTTTAAGACTTTTTTGTCTTAGCGTCAGTTTTCATTCCTTGGAGATATATTGCTCATCTGCACATCAGATGCTGATATTCAAAGCAGAGCTTACAGATCATTCCTACCTTCTGGATTCTGTCAGAGTTTTGGAGACTGAAAAACTCTCCTCCTCCCCAAACAAGAATAAGCCATCTCCAACAAGTTGGTGCAGTAACACACCACATGCTCATGGGAAGGCATAGGGTGGGTTCTTTTGGGAGGGTGGTCATTGAGTATTTCTGTGAGCAGGATGGGGTGCAATGATGTCCTAAGGCACAGGCTGGCCTTATTTGGCCCTTAAGTCACACATGTCTGTGTTTCAGTTACCACCACTACTGCATGACTTTGTTGCCTTGAAAAATTTGCTCCTTTATTTCAGCTTCAGTTTTTATTAACTGTAAGATATGTAAAATGCAGCTTATCTATGGAGCTTCATCTTTCTGTCCTACAACTGTAGCAAGTTTATTCTGGGGTTGGAAATGATTTTGTTTTTAATTTAATTGCTTTCACAAACACAGTCCAGAAACACAAGATGTCTGCCATGCTTCACTCAAGGGGGCCATTTTCCTCTCAGCCTCTAGTCATAACACACATTTGTGCAGCAAAGTAGTTTCTGTCCCCAGTATCTGAACCTAGAATGGTTTCTCTGCTTATATGTGATATCCTTTCTAGAGCCGTTAGATTTCCATAAGATAGCTTCATAGGGTAGCAGTCAGCCATTCTAGCTCTGTATTTCATTTCCCATGATATCTTCGTACCTGAAACTAAAAACTAAATCTAGAAAATAAACCAGGCTCATTCATGTGTGTTGAGTAGGCCTAATAATCTAAACTTCCCTCCTCTATCTCTTTACCAAAAGCCCATGAATGTGCAGATTGTGCACATCATCAGCATACTCCCTGCTCTCACTCCTAAATCTGCAGTTCCAAATTCTGAACCCAGATTCAGAATGAGATAGAGCTAAAATTGGTTTCATAATAGGGCTGAGTACATTGGATACTTTTTCTTCTATTCTTGAGATACTTTGCTAAGAATATTTTCCAGCTCCATTCATGTAAACGTGAAGGAGGTAGGGAGGAGGATAGGTGGAAGGAGGGTGATTGGTGGGATCACACCTATGGTTCATCCTATAAGGGTACATGTGAATCTTTCTAAATGTAGAATATAAATGTCTTAACACAATAACTAAGAAAATGACATGAAGGCTATGTTAACCAGTTGGATGAAAGTATTTCAAATTG